TCACCCAGCCTCTATTTTAACCCTTCATGCCCAAGATTCCCACTCCCCCAGACTGGGCTGCTTTGGGGGCTCATTTCAGGTGGGGGTGGTTGTACCACAGGCTCCACAGGAGCAAAGGGACGTCCTGCTGCCCGATACCCAGGCCTACGCAGGGCTGACAGACGCTGACACCTTTCACCCTTCACCACCACCCCTGTGCAGGGAAGTACCGAGAGTTCCACCGGCTGTACGGGGAGAAGCGCTTCTCTGAAGCTGCCAAGCTGCTTTTGATGCTGATGACGGCTCACATCGCTCCGTGCTCCTTCTGGATGACGTTGCTGACGGATGCCCTTCCTCTGCTGGAGCACAAAGAGGTGAGCCCGCCGGTCACACCTGACAAACCCCCCACCCCCTCTTTTCCTCCTGACCAGGCATCTCAAATTGGTGACCCCCCCCTCTGCCCCCAGGCTAGGACTTGCACTCCCAATGCAAAAGAATTGTTGGTGGCAGTTCCAGCACTGCACAGCTGTCCCAGGGTCCCATCAGGGGGAGCACACAGGACCCAGGACAGAATATAGCAACTTGGCTCCCTGCTTTTAGAAACCAGCAGTGGAATACATCTGTGCTGGTGATTTAAGTACAGACCACATCCTGGTCCTTCTGGTCCCTGGCTGAAAGATTTTCCTAGTGCGCTTCCTTCTTCTAAGCCGAATTTTTGCTCTAAAATCCATCAGGAAAAGGGCAGTTCAGTAATTACAGACCCCATGGCTGGATGCAGCTCAGAACACCCGCTCTGACCTCAGAGCTGACCCTGCTTGGCGCAGGAGGTGGCACTAGAGACCTCCCGAAGTCACTTCCAGCCTGAATTATCCTCTGATCCTGTGATCTAAAGGGTCAGAGTGAAGCTATGGGAGTGTGGAAGCATGCTCTTCCTTTCAACTGAGTGATCTTCTCAGACTGTGTGATGTCCTTAAACTTCACCATTTTCAGTAAATACTTCCATTTCCACAGGTGATATTTTCAGCAGAGCAGACTTATGAGTTGATGCGATGCCTGGAAGACCTGACAGCAGGGAAGGCAGATAAGCAGAATTTCCAGGTAGCTCCCGGTTTGAGGACGACTGGATAATGAATCGGTGGGGCTCTGGGGGAGGGCTGGGGAGAGCTCTACATTTCTATTCCTGTGTGGGGCAGAAAAGAGGGAGAGCCTGAGTTACAGAGGCTGGTGTGTGCTGTTATTGGTAAAGGCCAGCCAAATGAGGCATCATCAAAAGATATCTAAATATACACAAACCCAGTACAAGAGTACTTCCACTCCTCACTGTTCTGCTGATCTGGGTTGGACGGTGATGCTTTTCCAAGATAAATAGTCACTCATTACCTGGGCAACGAACAGCTGAGATGCTGCCATCTAACAGCTCAAGCTGCGAAACATTCCAGACGCAGAACAGGGAGCCATTTGCTCCCTCCCATTTGCAGCCTCTGCAGCTGCCAGAAAAAGAAAAGGCTTGGCAACGCTGTCTTGGGTTGGTCTAAAAAGTAGGAAATGCAGCTTTGCTCTGCTCAGGAGGTCGCTCTGACAGGTAAATACACACGGACTCTCCCCTCTTGATGACCTGCGTCCTTACTTTCCAAAACCCAGAAAGAGAACCTGCCGCCAGCTCAGCACTGCCTGTAGCAGTCTAACCCAAACTCTGCTCGCTTTCAGGATGATGTGGAGACTACGAAAGTGGAAATGCTGAGACTTGCTCTTGCGCGAAATCTTGCACGAGTCATCATCAAAGAAGGCACGTTGGAAGGATCCTGAAGGCAGCAGTGTGTGGTTTTACTCATCCTCTGTGGCTCACTGTACATAAACTTGACTGTTTTTCTAAGAATAAATGTCTTGTTTTGCATATTGCTTGGTGATTTGTTCTTGTCTGCCATTAACATAACTTTAAAAAAAAATTAGCTTTTAGAAAGGAGCTGCATCAAAATGTTACAGTTGCTTGTTCCACCTTGGCCTGGCACCCCTCCCGGTGAAGGAAACCTCACCACTGGCAGCGTTACCTTCTTCAGGTGCATCCCCTCTGCCACCCAGGACGGAAATGAAGCCCACCGTTAGACCACGGGGGTTTTAGAAAACAGACAGTTCCCTGTTTTCACTTAGTTTGGATGGTCTTGAGATGACAGGCTGTCAGGATTTCCAGAAGGCGCGCTGCACTCCACGGGCGATCGTTAGTAAGGGCCATCCACAGAGCAAAGTAGGGAAAACAATTTATTTACCATGCAGCAGAACAAATGCTTTGAGATGTATATAAAGTTACGGCTGTTGGGTATGAAGCAGGAACCTCACCCTACAGACAAGGAACATTCATAGTTTAATTTCCAAAGCTTTTAACAACGCATTTCCACCCAGCAAGACCACAGCACCTCTCCATGGGGCTGTACAACGTGGGCAGCGCGCTGCCGCTAACACTGAGAACAAAGCCGTCTGCAGAAAGCGCTTGTGCGCCTCTGCCTTCCTCCGAGTCACAGTGACATTCACGTGCAGGCAGCTACAGCAGCGCAACCTGCTTCCTGGGGACACTGTCCCCTTTCCTACTGCATCTGCAGTGCTGGGGAGACCATGTCTGAGGCAGAGAGAACTCTCTTTGTCCCCTATCCCATCCATCCATTTAAAACTGCTTTAAGGCTCCCAACACCCCACCCATCCCTCTCACCCACCTCCTGCGCCAGGGAGCTGGCGAGGCTGGGGTCTTCAGGAGCTCAGTTCACAGCCAGCTCCTTGGCCAAGCTTGGATTCCACCTCCAGGGCTTCAGCTGCCTGGTGCCTCTGAGGGGGACCCCAGGCCTTCGAGCCGCCGAGTTTTTCACCTCTTGTGATTTTTACTTTGCAACACAGCAAAGGAAGTTCCACTACAAATAACTCCAAGCTGCATTTGCCGTAAGGGTTTTACAGCCACCATCAATTCCAGCAGCACCTTCTCTGGAGTTTTCCTGCAGCAGGCGGGGGTCTCCTCCTGTGTACGGATTTTCTCAGGGCTCCAGCTGTGGCACTGCCAGGAATGCTGAGCAGACTGCCCAAGGACTCCGTCTCTGCTTTTGTCAATGGACCTTAGAAAACCTGTTTATTTAACACAGGCTGTTGTCTCAGAGCTAGTTGAGGCACTGCTTGAGATTGGAAACCGAGAGGGAGAAGGGGCTGCTGGAATCAAGTTTTGGTGATTTAAACCTAGTTTCTGTGAGCTGGAGCCAGAGGGGTCAGCTCTCTGCCCCCTGTTAGCGCAGAACACTGCTTTTTTTTTTTTTTTTTTTTTTCCCCAGCAAAACTGCTTTTCCCCTTGTGGAGACAATTGCACTTGGCCACTTAATACAGGAATAAATACTAGAGGGCATTAAACCCAGCACATGCATCGGCACAGCCCAGTGGAGCCGCCTTTCCTTTCACTGTCTGCTTGTTTCTACTTAGATAGCCTATAGCTCTATTATTTACATCTTGTATTTCATTGTACTCATCTCAGTAACACACAGTATTCGACTACGATAATAATACTGCCTGCATGAGGGGACACGAGAGGCATCTCTCCTTATCCCTGGATTCAGTCACTGCACCCGATTAGTGATTGCAAAGACATGTCTGCCCTCCAAGTGCTGTCCTCCACCCATACCGACCGCTCCTTTCCAGCCCTCTGTGCCTCCTCACCGCACCCTTCCACTTCTCCCCACGCTATGGAATGCAACAAAGGCAGAAAAATAACCAGTGTAACCATCTGCATACAAAACTCAGCCCCAGCTGCCCAAAGTGGGTCCAGCAGGGGGGCAGCGAGCGGTATCAAATAAATATGACGACTAAAGGTACAGCAGTGTCGCACAGCACGGAGCGAGGGGCTGCTGGCATCGGCCACGGGGGAGGAAGCAGCGGAGGGGGAGGAAGGGAGCTAAGTGCCATCTCAGTGTAAAAAAGAAGCATTCCTTCACGGAGCCAGCGTTATTGCTCAACATGCTCAGCGGGTCCAGCCTGGCACTGAGGAGGTAAAGGTCCGAGGGAGGGCATGTGTAAGGGCTCTGCGGTGGCATCATGACCCCACCGGCCTGTGGGTATCTCTGGACAGCAGTACAGGAACCAGCCAACTACATCCCCTCCTGCTGACAGGTCTCCCCTCAAAATGCAAGAACTTCAAGTTTAATAGAGCGGAAGATAGAACCAGATTCACCCAGAGGTCAAGAAAAAAGCAGCCAGCACTGCCTGTCACCGGCTGCTGCTCAGTTCATGCTTGGCATAAATGTCCCAGGACCCCTTCGGTGTGGGGCAAAACATTCTGGACTAAAGGTACAAGCAGAGTGGTCAGGACACGTAAACGAAGCTGAACATCACCAGTGGATAGCATGTGCGTCCCTCCCCACGTCACGTTCCTTCCAGTCCCGTGGGATCCTTTCCTGGTCCTGTCACAGTCTCTGGCAGTGTCCTAAGGTCATAGATTCCCCCACTGCTCTACCGGGGGAAACTGATCCACCTCGCCGACCTCTGTGCTGGGCTGGTCTCCCAGTGTGAAGGTCAGCCTGTACCTCAGCCTCACCTTCTCCTGCAAGACAGACAAAAGCCAAGAGCAGCATGAGAACAGAGACCTCCTGAGCAAACGTGTCACCGTTACAGCTCCGCAGAGAGCACAAGGCTTCTGTTGCACATAGCAGCGGAAGGGAACCAAGGTAAATCCATGGAGCAGTTCAACTGTTTAGCAAATCTGAGTTATTTACCTCACAGGTTTTATAGCACACAAGCTTTGTCGCTTAGCACAGAACAGCAGAAGTGCATGAATGACCCAAGATCATCGTTTGCACGTATGCAGCCAGCACCCATTGCTCAGCTGCTCTCCAGTGAGCCTGGAGAACCCTGCTGGGATTGTTCAACATTTTCAAGATTTAATTCCTGATCATGTGGAGGAAGCCAGAACAGTTCCTGCTCTGCAGAATTCCCAGTACGGCAGCGAGCAGGAGATGGAACCAGTCCTTCAGGGAGGGGATCTCCACGTACCTCACAAAGTTTTTTGACAATCCACCAAACCCCTCTGACACTTATCCTTTGGATCTCAAAGCTTTCAGCTGATACTTTAAGGACCATTTTTGCTGTAATCCTCAAGTAGTAACACCTAGATTTGTCAAATAATTAGAAACTCCTTCAGCATACAGCTTTGGGCTTTATGGAGCAGGCTACCTACATGAGTAACTACAGCAAGGAGGAAGAGCTCCTCGGAGAAGAAAGCGTTAACCACGTTGTTTCACTGGTCACAGGTACACCCCAAAGAATAATGGGACAGACGTGATCTGACATTTGTCTGATGGTTCAGATCTGTCAGGCTATAGCCTCAACGCAGCACAAGTACCTCTCCAGCACGAGCTAATTTGACATCAATCTAATTAACACCAGAGCTTCCAGCGCACTGAAACGCCACCACTGTGCAGTGACCACCTCTGGAGGTCAGGTCAGGAGTCAGCAGCTTTATCTGCTCAAATATTTGGCCCAACCCCCCCGTAGAACTCAGCTTACATCAGGTTTGTCTGTCAGGGACAGGACAGATCCCACCGCCTCTCTCACCTTTGCAGGATTTGCCAGAAGCATGACTTGGGTGATGGCAGCAGGCGGCTGGATGGGATTGAACGGGGACAGCTCTGTGCCAGAGGGTGGCTGTAACTTCACTTTCATGGACTGCAAAGGAAAACAGAAAGCAGAACCTCAGATTACCTCCTGTCTTGAGGACAAGGAAAGATGCATACGCAGGCTGGGGAGATAACAGCACACATCAGAACTAAAGAGAATCAATCCACACGCGAGGATGAGGAAACCAGAGCCAGCCCAGCTTGCACAACACGATAGGAGCAGGCAGACCGACAAGTCAGCCCAGAGTAACAGAACACCAGCAGCACCTCCCTATCCGAGTTATCTTCTGCCTGAGGTTTTAACATGAACACCTTCATGACGGTAGGCAGATCATAGCCAAGATTGGGCCAGTTTTCAACACACAAGCTGGCCATCCAAAATTATCTACGTGCAGTAAGACCAGAATGGAGCATACTGGCAGATTGAGGAGGTCTTTTAGAAATCCTGACTCCCAAAGACCTCAAGGGTGGCTCTATCCATGTCACAGTCCCGTCATTGTGCTATCTGAGCTGCCTTCATAAACAGACACAGCTGGACTGATCTCAGATAACACAAAAAACAGAACACTAACTACCTGCACTTCTTGACTGACCCTGTTCAGTATTTTCTGCCTCTGACAACAACAACCTTTGTTTTGGAAACAGGCAGAGCACAGCCTAGAGAAAGGTAGAACTGGGGTGTCCCCAAGTCCCTGAGTTCATTCCCAGGCCTTCCCAAATGCAGCTTCACGTCACCGTGGGTCTGAGCCACGCAGCCCTACCTTCGGCACAGCAGCCTGCAGCATGATGTTCTTCACAGGAAGCGGTGCCGTGTTCAGCATCGAGACCACCACCACGAGCACGTCCGACCTTCCCGGCGGGCACTCCCTGGCAAAGTGCAAGAGGATCCGGAAGCCGTTCTTGTCATAGGCTGTCACCGGGAGGGCACTGCCTACAGCACAGAGAAAGGGAGAGGAATGGGAGAGGAATGCAGGTTTATGCTGCAGAGCAGCATTAGGCAATCTGACTGTTCGGCTGGGACGTTTCATCCTTTCTCTCTTCTTCCTACGCTTTGTCAAGAAGCTTTGCTTTTGAAAAAAATATTCAAAGAAAGGTGAAAAACCTGGATACTTACTGGGTTTAATGGATTCCAAGGGAACATGGACATTGGCCAAAGAAATTTCAGGTGCTTTCATGGGACTGCCTTGCTGCTGGAATGATGTCGGCTGGAAGAGAGGACTTCCCGAGCCAGCAGTGCAGCTGCTTGGGAAAGGAACTG